TGTGTCTGTGTCTGTGTCTGTGTCTGTGTGTGTGTGTGTGTGTGTGTATCTACACAACAATGTGTTTCTGTTAGACTCCAGCTGCCTTTGGGAAGGAAATCTGATCTTCTGGGATTCAGTAACAAACACATGAAATGTTTCGTGTCCAACAGCAACTCCTCATCAACAGAACATTCATCACACTTCCAGTGAAAATACCTTCAGTTCATCACTACAGCAGCTTCTGAATCTCCATCACACTACTTCTAGTTTTAATAAGATAACTTGAACAGTTGATGTATTATCTGATTAAAAATAAAAGCACTGTAATTCATACAAAACTGGACAAGAAGAGCATATCAAACAACACTGGATCAGGATCACAGCCAACAAAAAAGCATTTTAATAACTTAATACAGTTTGAGCTGAGTTTTGTTGCATCTGTGTTTCTTCACTGAGGCAAAGTCCTGCATTCAAATCTCAAACGTAGGTGAAACCAGTGACTCTATTCATAAATCATAATAAGATTGTACATTACAGAACATAAAAGAAGATCCAGTGACTCAAAATCTGCATGGAATTAGATCTCAGTTTATCATCGTCATGACAACACACAAGACACGCCCTCCTGCCGCATCACTGCCGTGGTGTGAGTTTAAAATCCCGCCCATCCCGCTGGACCTGACCAATGAGATCATCAGAAGGAGAATATTCTAAATCTGCGAGCTGCTGATTGGACATTATTCACCTGCACACAGAGATCCTCAGCAGAGAACACGTGATGACTGAACGTCACTATGTTCCACACAGATGGAAGCTGACTTGTCATTTGGCAGACACAGGCCTGCTGTTGTGCTGAATTTTAATTCCTTGCCACATAATGAAGTCTGATCTGATTTTCTGATCTAAACATACACCTAAGCCTAACATTACTGCATGAGGAGTCAGCTTCAGCTCTGAAGTGTGAAGGAGCTCTCAAGCCTCACAAATTAAGAAAAACACAAACAGTTATTATCAGTGAGCAACAGTATTAGCAGAAAGCTGAATTTCAAGAGGAAGCCAGTAAACAGACGTTTACCTCTAGAAAAATGGGGAAAAAGACGGATGTTTATATTTATGGTTCCAAAAATAAAACCATGAATAAACATGGTTCTATAGATATGGTTCCATAAATACATAAGTGTGGTTAAATAAGTGAATGCCCCACGCAGTTCTTAAGAGTGTCACACATGCATCATGTTCTTGTGGATGCACTAAAGCCGGTTCTACAACATGCCAGAAGTTACTGCAGATCTGAACCATAGACTGTATAAAAACAGACCTGAACACGTCCTCAAGATGACTTCATATCCATCATCACCTGGATTCAACCCGGAGTTCCTCTGATTCATGAAAAAACCATCTGAAGACGATGGAATATGTGATTAAATACTGCAGAGCGAGAGTGAAGTTCAGTCACGTGATATTGACGAGTGAATGTGAACAAACGCCACGATCAGTGTTTAATAATGGATGGATGGATGGATGGATGGGTGTAGACTGCTCTGGAGGCGAATCTTCAATGAAGCTGCTCATTAAACATCTGACATCTGGATGAAAGCCAATCTCAGACCAACACTCACCAGAGAGAATAACAGAACAGCAGCATCAAGAATCAACACAAACACACTGATTTCTGGTTTCAAAATGTGCATTTATTTAAAAACATTGTCAAAAACAGTTGAGTTGTTTCTTTGGGTGTCATTTCATTCAGATCACTGGACCATCAGTCCTGAGATAAAGAATTAAAACTCCTACGGGTTCATCCCATCTTCACAAAAGCAAAACTGGCCTCAGATGATGCATTAACAGTAACAGCATGAGAATCCATTCAAGACTTCACCAGTCTGGTCCAACAGCTTTACATTTCTGTTTCATGCTTCATAAACGTATAAAAGTCCCTGAATGACACAGGTTCATTCCCTCTGTAGTGCACATCGATTTCTGGATGACCTTTCTATATCGCATCTGATAAACAACACATTTAAAAGATAAAAGCAAGAAACTCAAAATCATACATTTACACAATAAATAAGAGCGTTCTTCGCACAAAGTCTTGGGTTTAGACGGTGTGATATAGGCGAGTGTTTACAGAGACAGACTGCAGATGCTTGAGGAGCGTTTGTGATTCTTCATCCGTCTGATAACAGTGCAAACGCTCCGATCCTTCAGATAACACGCTGCACTAGCCTCGTAAACAAAGCGTGCACAACAACAACAACAAGAGAACGTAAACACACGGCTCTAACGGAGGTCAGAGGTCACCTGAATCTCAGCGCAGACACGTGACCCTGAGCACCGATTCACTTGTCGAAGGCATCGTGGGATATTCACGCATTCAAACATTACACAGGCACGATCAGAGTTAAGGCCCAGAATTCAGAACTTCACACGCATGAGCAAACGAACCGCAGAACCAAACAGAACAAATACAGTCATTCTCATTATTACTAAAGTAGCGCTGTGCATTCATAAATACAAGCACTTCTTCAAAACAAAGATAAAAACAGATTGTTCAAGTGTGTCTAAGAAGGAGAAATATAAATAAAATCTGTGACAGTCAACGAGCATAGTGCAAGAAGAGAAACACCTGTCTGCCCTCCACATTATCACGAACATTTACAAAGATCATTTTAAATATTACAAAGTGGTAATACCTTCAATAAGAGGACCTTAAAAGCTCACAAATCACAAATGAAAACAGTGGCGTGTTTGTGGCAAAGCCTCGGGATCCAGCAGATTCCTGAAGAGTGTCTGTTTGAGATCTTCTGCTCTTCACTGTGATGACGTTAGATATGAGTGTGTGTGTGTGTGTGTGAGTGTGAGTGTGTGTGAGTGCGTGAGTGTGTGCGTGTGTGAGAGAGTGTGTGTGAGTGTGTGTGTGAGAGAGTGTATGAGTGTGTGTGTCTGTGTGTGTGAGTGTGAGTGTGTGAGAGAGTGTATGAGTGTGTGTGTGTGTGTATGAGTGTGTGAGTGTGAGAGAGTGTATGTGTGTGTGTGTATGAGTGTGTGTGAGTGAGTGTGAGAGAGGGAGAGAGTGTGTGTGTGTGTGAGTGTGAGTGTGTGTGTGAGAGA